GTACAAATTTTTGAACTAAGATTATCCATTCTTATATATGAATTTAACACTCACATTTCCTTAACAGTATATATATATATATAATATATATTACTATAAATATGTAGTAATACATATCAACCCACAACCTCTCCATCAATGAATAAATATATAATGAGAGTAAGATAAGAATAAAAAACAAAAGGAAGAAAGAGATAAAGACCTACGCACACACACACCAATAAATGCCTCTTTGTTTGCAAATCCTTTCTTTTTCTTCTTCTTATTTCTCATCAAACCTTCTCTCCGTGGGCTGCTATGTTTGCTGCTGCTATGGTGTAGTTTTAGGAACCCTAGGGTTGTTTATATATTGTATTAGGCAACTCTAGGGTTACCTTTATATATCTAAACCAAAAGGCTCTAAATTATTATCTCTTTATATTTATTTTAACTTTCTAATCTCCAAATTAATAATAAAACTAATTATTAGATCAAAATATGGCTTACTAATTTGGCACTTAAATTTATTTATTTATTTATTTTTTTAATATAATCTTACATCTAAAATTAGACTTTCACAAAAAATTTATTTTAGATTTAAAAATTAATTAAAAAAACCTTCCCAAATATTTAAACTTGCACTTTCACCACCAAAATATTTTTTGAGATTGTAATATTATTATTATTTAATTATTTACTTGATTTTATATTCGGGTTCTCACAAAACATGACCACAAAAAGAAATTAAGCGAAAAAAACAACAAAAGCAACCACAAAAAAAAAAAAATCTAAGAACAGTGATGAGGATGACTTTCTTCGAAGAAGAATACCAAATCAAGAATTAGAACAAGAACAACAACAATAAAGAAAACAAGAACCACAAGCAGAAGCAGAAAGTGAATGAACAAGAAGAAGAATGTGTGAACGGAACAAAAAAACAAGAGACTCCTGAAGAAGAACAAAAACAGAAACAAGAAAAAATGTGATGAATGACGAAGAAACGATGAAAAAGGGGCCATACCAAGAACAGAAGAAACAACAAACAAACCAACACAAGAAGTCAATGAGAAAACTGACAGACCCAACAACAACACAACATGAAAAAAAAAAAGAAAAGCAAAACA